CCCGCGGGTTATATGCGTGGGCGGGTTATTTGCGTGGGCGGGTTATATGGGTGAAAATACGGTATGTTCTTGGCATTCTTTGCTCATCCTTCCCAGGAATATCTTCTACAAATATGGGACAGCAGTACTGGACAGGGTAGGATTACTCAGATATAGAACAGTATACTACTCTTTATATCTACAATATTTCACAAAGATGGTGCTTTACACTCCACACTTGTCTTTACAAATATTACGGTTACACTCACAAAAATACACATTACTTTCATAATGTGTTTCACATCATTTTCACGTGGACCTAGAAGAACCGACGGAAAAGAAGAAACACTCAAGTTCCATATCTAAGTCCAACATGTTCTGTGACAAGATTTAAGAGAGTGAGGAGCCAGGAGAGACTCTATGTCAAAAACTATGAAGAGTGGTGATCAATTAGTGACTTCCCCACCTTTTCGCCAATATCACAGGAAAAACAAGAGATTACCTCTCCTAGACCTTCCAAAACTCTGACTGTTATAAGGTATCCGGCTCCTAGATCTGCTGCTAGTGGTGTGAACAAGGTGAAGACAGCAGTACCCAAGATGCCAAATCCCAGGAGCAGCTTTGCCCCAAATCGGCGTGCCAGATATCCCCCAGGAACCTGAGTAATGATGTAGCCATAGAAAAAGGACCCAAGGATCCAGCCTTGCATATCGGCATCCCAAGGATAGCTTTTCCCCTAAAAAGAGAAGAGGAAGAAGCAATATTTTATACATCATAAGAGCAAAAAAATAAAGTATTGTGTTCTCCCACTCTTTAATGACACATGATCTTTTGTAGAATTTGCTCCTAGTTACAGCCTGATTAATAAATCCCATTTTCTGTAACAGTAATCTCTGTGCTCATTAGTGTGACATACATGAAAAAAAGCTTCTTACAATGTATACCCACTGCAAAAACAACCATTGTTTTTTTTTTACTGTTTGCTAATTTAATTATTGCAATATGTCAAAGAGAAGTGCTATAAAATTGTTTTTAAATAATGTAAATACATTGTTTTGGAATCCTTTTCTGGTTTGTTTTCTATTCTTATCAATGCATTCAACTGATTATGTTACCATTCTTGAAATACAAGCCATTACACACTTTTATCATTTGCAGAGATATGCTTCTTGTGGAAAGGAAAGAAATACTCTAGTCAATAAGAACTTGCTGAAGCCTATTGGCATCCCAGTCTTCCATTATAGATCTAATTCTTTTTTTTTCCATTTTTTATTTATTTTACATATATCACTTTTCATTTTTACCAAACAGTGTGAGATCTGGGTACAATTATTTGAACAGTCATAATCCACATATTTGTTATTGTATATATCACAATAATGCTAATAGTATAACTATATATCAATATAATTACAATAATACATCTTCATTATCAAATTCTCTCCACATTAACATTCATTCTTTTTTATATCTCCTCCTTTCTCACTTCAGTTTCTATTGTCTAACCATTGATAAAATACATCCCACGTCAGAAAATATTCAGTTTCTTCTTTATCCTTAATAATGAGTTAATCTGTCTATTTCTGCGCATTCTAATATTTTCTTAATTACACTCTCATCTGACGGTTTCTCATCATTTCCCCACTGTTGCGCAAATACAATTCTAGCTGCAGTTAACATATGTAAAACCAGACATATAATCTTTTTGTCATATTTTTCCAGTAGAATGCCCAACAAAAAATATCTCAGGTTTCAAACAATATGCTGCTTTATCATTTTTTCCATTCAAGTATGTATTTGCATCCAATATTTTTTAGCTTTTGGGCAAGTCCAGCACATAAGGTAGTATGAACCTAGCAGTTGATTACATTTCCAACATTTAGCAGATCTATTTTTATACATTTTAGTCAATTTTGCTGGTGCAAAGTGCCATCTATAGAACATTTTGTACAGATTTTCTATGTATGCAGTTGATACGATCAATTTAACATTTCTATCCCATAGTTTCTGCCATTTGTCTAATTCTATTGCGTATCCAAAGTTTTTAGCCCAAGCAATCATTGTCTCCTTTACCTGCTCACATTCAAGTTTAATACTTAGTATGTAACAATATAATTTCTTTATCAGTTTATCATCTGTTCCAATTAGAATCTGGTCTAGTTCTATTAACTCTTTATTAAATCCATACATTTTATCTTTCTCATAATGAAATTGTATCTGTATCAGGTTCCGAAAGGAAGGAAAAAGCAACAAGCATAAACCTGGTTTGTTGAATCTCTTTACTCCCGTTTTGGCATGGACTGATAATCACAGTTATCAAAATGCAGTGAAATTCAAGTTAGAGCTGATTGCCCTGTGCTTCCCACCACCTTTAAGCACTTCTTGCCACCCCATCCTATCACATGCACAGTCCCATCCCACATGACCCCAGAAGCTTCAAAGTGCAGACGCAAGTCTCTTTGCTGGGCCAGTCTCCACAGCCTCTGTTTAATTGATTAGCGGCCGCTCCGTTGGCCTGCGGCTCAGCAGAGATGATGTCATCATCAGGCAACTGCCGCTCAACTGTTGGTTGAGTTTCTCATGCCTTCTGCTACTTCTAGTAGAAGCGGCTCCTTCCAGGCTGTCCCTGCCACTGTCTCACATCCGTTTAGGGACGTCAGTGCTAGATGGGTGGGTGGTTTTGGTGTCCTCCTGCTGCAGCTCTTGCCCGAATGGCAGTTCCAGGCTGCCAGGCGTGCTGGAGCTGACAATCTTCATTTGTGGCCACCATGCGATATCTATCCCTTGACTACTAAGTTCTTGTTTAGTTTTTAATTCCTCTAAATTATTCAAAATGCCTTTGTATCTTAATTTTTTCCCCATATTAATAACATTAGGATATAGCAATGCCTTCATAGTGGAAAGCCAGATTGGTATTTTCAAATAGTAGTGTTCTTTTATTTTAAGTCAAACTGATAACAATGCATTTCTGACATAATGTCTCTGGAAATAGCTATGAAATAGCTTTTTATGGTATGGGAAGAATAAGTTACATGGTTCACCGACAAAACCGCGCCCGACTAAACCGCGCCCGACTAAACCGCGTCGCTGACGTCATCAACAGGGCGACAACAGCACGGAGACAAGCACGCTGTAAACCCTAAACCTAAAATTAACACCTAAACCTAACCCTACCCCCCCTAAACCTAATCCTAAACCTAACCCTTAACCTAACCCTAAACCTAATCCTAACCCTTAACCTAATCCTAACCCTTAACCTAAT